GAACAAATACAATAAGCTGTAGTTGTTCTCGTGACTATAGTGTCCCTTTAAGTCTCTGGGTAGAATTATATAGAAATAATTGTAAAATTCCACTAGTAAATACTAGTAAATTATTTACTTTTTGGAAAATATTTTTGTTTTAGATTTATAATATAAAGCAAAATAAATAAAAATCATAGGGTTGATTTCTAAATATGTAAATATGTTAATATATGTATGTAATTATTTTTTCACACATAGAAAGTAAGAGTCCTTGTTTAACCTGCTAGTCTCCATCAACTAATATCTTTCACACAATGAGCTAAACCCTGTATTGCAGGGCTTAGCTCAGGAGAGCTAGCGGAAGTTCTCTTTCAGAACTTCCAGTTCTTTAAAGCGGCTTGACTTACAAATATTGAGCCTTGAAACAACACAGTTTATTGTAAATACATTGCACATCTTGACAATATATCATTAACATACTGTGCATCTGTGACCAGGATGTACCCCTGTAAACAGACCACTGACCGTGCTACACATAGCTGGGAGTTTCCACATCTCTGTTAACTTTAATCCAATTTATAGGTTTTGGCCTCATTAATATGCTGAGCTTTGCTGCATGCTCAAATCTAGTTTTTACAAAAAATAAAATAAATATTTTCTAAATAAAAAGTGTTATTAGGCTTAAAAGACTCCAGCAGCCAGGTGCCAGTATGACAGCGGTAGGAGTATCCTGGGCAGTACCCACCATTAGGATTTATTAGCAACTAAAAAAGAAGAGATTTTAATAACTCACAAATTCCACAATATATAGCTATTAGTTGCAAACGTATAAAAACTTACAAAGTGATAAATCCAACCCAGACTTTAGTTACTACAAATAAAGTATTATATAAAACCAAGTTTTTATCAAAGATGACAATATGGGGTGTCACATTCATCTTTCCAAGGGCTTTCTAAAAACACAGCCCATAGATAAGACAAGAGAAAATGAAAACTAAATTTAAAAAAAAATACTTTTAATTAGAACTAATCATAAGTCTCCATTTGTCACAATATCACCCATGCAAATTTCAGCCACACTTCTTCAGACATGTTATACAGCCCTTAGTCACGCTCCCTTCACTCCAGTAAAATACTTCTTTATCAGCTGTATGTACATAGTGGCATAGCGTGGGTAGCCAGTGCTTGGGGCAAGGCAAGTATTGCGCTCCCTAACCTGTGAACTGTTAGCACTCCCTTAACGGCGCCTAGATAGCCTCGATTCTCCTACCCTACACGATTTGCCTCCGTGATGTATATGACACTGATAGGTGCGTAATTTTTTTAATTCTCCTCACGCCTAAAGTAATGCGTATACACATTAGTTTAGTTGTGAGCTGGATTTGAAAAATGAAGCAACGCAACTACCAGTGTCGCACACATCAGGGAGACGAGGCAGGTAGAGAAAGAGGAGCGAGGCTATCTAGGCGCCCGTTACCATTGTACAGGTATCATACAATTTCATAGGCATTTACATAATGCCTATGAATAGCGTGATTTCCAGTTTGAAGATACCGGCGGTATCTTCAAACCAAAAATCACGCTATTAATAGGCATTATGTCATTCACCAATAAGGATTACATGAGGTCAGCATGGCTGTAATTAGCAAGAAAAATACCATAAAACATTATATGTCCCATCTTGCTGAAATTCTGTGTAGAATATTTCAGTATTGGGAGATTTTCTGTGTGAGGGGGAGGGTGCTCTATTTTGTATTCATTATCACTACTTTCTTTTTTTTCTTTTGCTCCCCTAAGAATTTCACCTTCTGTGCCCCTAAGTATTTTGTGCCTAGGGCAATACCCCTTGTGGCACCGCCCATTCTATGCCACTGTATGCACACAGATCAGTCATTGACGGCACTGAGCGATCTGAACTACAAAGCAAAATGTATTAGAAGTAGAGGACATCCAGGGAGACTTATAGTAAGGATATCACTACCTGTTTGTTGTTTCTCTGTTTGTCTGCAGCCAGGTTGTGAAATATTCCTGGGGGCTTTTGAGCAATTTATGTTTTTAATTGTGCCAATATCCTTGTGAGTGTTCCTTGTATTCATTTTTACCCAGCATTGTAAATGAAAGTTTGCACTATGATTCTCTTTACGTTTGTCTCTTTCATGTGAGGTTCCTTTTTCCTCATCAAAGTGGTAACTAAAATTACCTTCACATTTGTGATTGTGGTGCCCTGCAATGTATTTTAACTTTGGGTTTTGTACAGTTTTTTTTGTGTGTATACTTTGTACTTTAATATCCCGCTCACCCGTATTCTCGTTTATGAAATTAAAGCAGGTCACTCAGTGCTGCTATGGGCTGACTGTGTACATAAACTGATTTTAGGAAGTCTTTCTGGCATAAGGGGACGTGGTTAAAGAAAAACACTTCTGGCACAAGGCTCTGAAAAACATACTTTTTTTGTGCATGCAAGAAAACTTAAATAAATAAATAAATACAGCTTATCAATCAATGCATTAAAGTTGTGTTTGTTTAATCGCCATGTAGAATGGTCATTGTGGGCACAGGTGAATGGGAACACATGAGAGAATGGGAATGAAAGGTGCAATGCCTGGATAGTGAAGTAGAATGTACTCTGATTATGTCTGTTGATAGATGTACAATACTGACCTGAACTCTAGCTTCTGTTAGATCTAACCGCATGGCCAGGTCCTCTCTGTACAAGAAAAAAGACAGACGTGTCACTACTTTGTCAGCTGAGCGAAAGAAAACTGTTTCTATAGATATTTATAGAATTTAATGCTTAGATTACCATGCTGGAAATGTAATTCAACAAATTAGTTTGACCCCCCTTGTGTTAAAATATTGTTTTCTGCATAAACTATTTGTCAAAGCATGGTTGGGGTGGAACTCTGGGATCAGTTTGTGTTTGGGCTCTAACTGATTCCATCTGTCATATATTTCTAATCCTTTCTTGGAAGAAGAGGGAACCAGTAGTTATTAGAGAATTTTTGGTATCAATGTTTATTTCTTATTCTGGATTCAATGATGTGAAGCACTGCCGGAGCAGTAAGGCAATTTTTGCACATGTGCCCTCTCTTGAAATACTTCTATATGAGAAGCATTAAACTGGCTGAATGGGAGATCATAACTAGTGAAAAACTGATAGAGATAGAGCTGAACAGTGGAGAGGATACCATTTGTAACCATGAGATTAATAGTAAGTAATTGCTTTAATTTACAGGAAAGGGGAGGCCGAGTGATCTAAACGCCATTTACAACACAACACTTTATACTGCTGGAGTGTTTTTTTAACCTACTAATTTAAATGTTAATATTTACGGAAAACATAACAATTTAATTTATTTCTTGGTGTAAATCAGATTTCAGAACTCAGCATTCCAGAAGTCATAATACTTTCTTACAAAAAAATTGTATCCTTATTTTTAAATGAATATTAGCACCTAACAGTGGATAACATATCAAATATCCTAATTATGCAGGATTTAGCGAATCGCCAGTTTAGTTTCAACCGCCATATTGAATATTTGAGAATAACCGGGACCATAAAAGCTGGTTGGAAGGATGGCATGTCCAAACATACATTGTGTATTCCCCTATCATTCTAAATTTAGATGACAATACTAGAGCCAAAATAAGTATCACATTCAGAAAATATTGACCTGGTGAAAACATCTGGATAGTGGGACTTCCTGAATGCCCTCTCGAGTTCCTCGAGTTGTTGGTTACTAAAGGTTGTTCGATACCGACGTTGCTTCCTTTTCACTGTACCAGTAAGCATAATGAGTTCAGAGCTACTAGAGGAGCATTTAGAACTTTCATCCCTTTTTTCTTCAGAATCAATCTTTTCCTTAGTGGAGTCCACCACCGAGCTGGCCCCATTGTCCCCTCGCTGCCTGTTTGTGACGTAGTCTTCTGCCATGAGTTGGACATTAGTTCCTGTATTACAAATTAACCTTGATGAAAGCTGTGCGTCTGTTTCCAAAACTGAAATAAAAGGACATATTATAAATTGGCTAGCTTTATATTTTGTAGGAAAAATAATTATCAGTAGATTATATATAGTACATTGCTGAAAATATCCCAATTTAGTGTAACTTTAGTAAACATATGATTTTAAAGAGACACTGTAGGCCAGGGATAGGACAGCTTTGGCACTCCAGATGTTGTGGACTACATCCCTCATAATGCTCTTACACCCATAATGCCTGCAAAGCATCATGAAAGGTGTAGTCCAAAATATCTGGAGTCCCGAAGGATGCCTATGCCTGCTGTAGGCACTTAACTTCATTTTATTGAAGTTGTTATAGTGCGTGCCATCCTGCCTCCCCTGATCGACTCCCAAAATCCAATATTAAACTAAATAGAAGGCTTAGAAGTGGAGTGTCAAGGCACACCCCATAATGAGTTTATTGTTAAAATTTTATAATTTTTAAAATTGTTATTTAACACCGGGCACTGGGGCTAATTGATAAGGGACATTGGGGACACCCAATGCTCTGGTGTTCCTTTAAATCTAATACTTATTAGTTAATCTGATAAAAGCAAATATACTAATAATACAAACTAATATTACAAATAGATAATTTGCTTGGTAATATTTATTGGGTTTGTTTACCAAACAATGAATTGAGGTCAAATTAACAAACTCCATAGTGTCCCTAGACAAAGTTACGGTTATTTACTAAAAAGTGAATTGTTGGGAATTTAAGTTGAATTCAAAGTGAATTTAAATTTTAGGACAAAAAATCTAAAATTCAAGAATAACTTATTTGGAGAATATTACTAATTCAATTTGGCCTTTAATTCCCTTTGAATTAACTATGAATTCTTGACAGGCTTATTCCAAAAAGTAGGAATTGTTAGATATTCAAAGTTGTGTCTCAATGGACAGGTATATGTTTAATACATTGTTTTGGAAAACCAGAAAACATGACAAGTAAGGATTCAAAATCCATTAGTCATTTTACAACTCCAAGCACTAATATCTGTACTAATAACAGCAGATAACACAATACATTGTGGCCTGGCCACTGCAGTACACAGGACATTATTTTTGGATAACTCGCTGGAACATGCATAGTATCGCAATTTACATCATGTGCATAAGAAAATTACATTATTAACTAGACATTGTTTTAATAGACAAAAACTAACTGATTCGGCGGTTAATTTTTTTTTTGTATTTTGTTGTGCCTAGTGTAACAATGCAATGATTTGTGGACCCAGGACATACTTGAAAACGAGAGAAATCTCAATGTATCTTTCCTGGTAAAATATTTTATAAATAAATAAATAAATAAATCTTAATAACAAATGACTGAACTGAATGAGTCCCAAATCACATGATGGATGCAATTGTCACGTTATTCGGTCATTCATGGATTCTGAACACTGAAAGATCAAAATTAAGTTTAGTAGATAGCTCCATAATTTGATATTCTTTTGTGGGAATACCCTATGTACGAGCACCAAATTAGAGAGCTGTTTAGTAAATAGCTCCATTATCTGATATCCTTAAATGTTTCCATGCCATGTAAGGGACCCAAATTAAGAAGCAACCAACTAAACAGCTGAAGGATTAAAATTAAACAAGGCCCTTTTCTTCAGCTGTTTATTCGATAGCTGTACCTTCTCTATCTTGACATTAATGCCACGTACAGGTTGCATTATAATATCCTTCAGGCATTTTGGAAGATGCACATACCCACAAACAGAGTTTATTTTTGTCAACCCTATTGTATGTAACAGATTTTTCTTTTTTTTTAAATCTATTTATTTAAGGCAGTATAAATCCTGTAAAAAATGGTATTATATAATCCTTAAAAAATGTTTCCTCCGATATTTCTGTAAAGATGGAAGAAATAAATGAATAATCGAAGTTTCATTTAAAAAAAAAAATGATTTGTAACAAAAAGCAAACAAACAAACAATGTAACTTTAGTTAAATAAGGCAAATTGCTGTATTGACGTTGAGATGTAATCTGTTAATTACAGGTTTCAACTAAGTGCTACATGAATAAATATCCAGTAGTGGAGGGGTTAACGGCAGAAGAATGTATGCTAAGATTATGCATGGTCTGAATTCTCAACTGCCATTATAAATGGCAATTAAAAATTCAAGTTGTGTATTGAATATAAAAAGTAATGCTATGCCCTGTCAGTTTTTTTAATACATATTCTCTATTAAACAGGTGACAAAGTTACCCTAGCTAGTCTAACAATAAGGCCAATGTTTTATAAACAAGGATACAAAAGGATACAACAAACTATTCTAGAAAACTATTTTTAAATTTCTTGTTAAAGATTATAAAAAGGAAGAAGTTAAATGTTAGCACATCCAAATAACGTATATCAGTAAGCAGAGACTTTGTTGTTATTTCATGTTTTACAATCTCTGTGGTCACATCATCCGTGTGGTTTATGCCCCCTATGTATAAAAAATAATGCATGATTTGCCACTGTGCACTACAGGGGCCCCGATTCTCAGTTAGAATCTGAACAATTCTACAAATGAGATAATACATCTGGCTGTTAGCTGCTGCCTTTTTAATTTAACTATCTGAATTAAATCAGTCGTGGGCATCAGATGAAATAGTTGATGTCGGGGACAGTAACTCCCATAAATCTTGAACTGCCTGTGCCCGGCAGGTGTTATCATTAAAACCATATACATAAGAAACCACACATAAATATAATTGTAATAATAAACACACCTAGACAGATATGTGGAAGAAAAGGCTGTGGCATTTTCTTTAGTTTATAAACACACTGTAACAATAACGTAACTCACTTTGAAAACCAGGTAACTTGTAACCAAAAATCTCCGGTCTCAAAATCACCCAGAGATTTACCTTATGCCGACTCACCATAGTTCTGCCCTAAATAGCCAGAACATAACATATCAAAAACCAACACCCTCCCCACCCCCAATTGAATAGGCAGGTGACCTTACCCCAATAAAAGACCACAACAAAAATAAAAAATAGGGAGGGAGGGAGGGTGGGGAAGCAACTTCATCACAAAATCGCAAGCGCCCAGCTCACTATTGGTTCCGCTGGCACTAAGCTGTTATCTCAGAACAGCTTATATAATAGGTTCATTCCCGCCGAATAATGTCATCACGAACAAGCGTTCCAATCGGAACACTGACCGCGTGGACATTCAGAATAATAGCTGACCGTGAGGGTATCGCTCCTGGGGCCAAAGCTGATGCACTCCCGACACTGAGTGAGCCCGTGCCTCTCACAGCATGCGTGGGATAGGCATAAGGCTATAATAGACTTACGATAAGGCCGGGGACTAATTAAAAGTATTTACGAAATATTGGGCAGACAAGATGGGCCGAATGGTTCTTATCTGCCTTCACATTCTATGTTTCTATTAACCTTTTCAACCCCACAGTGTTCATGAGCACATGGTCAATTGACCATGCGATGTCCTCATTAGAAGCAGAGAAGGATTAAGATCCCAAAGGGCCCTACACAAGTTACCAAATTGGAGCTATCCTGCATTTTCCACATATTGATGATAAATGTAGCACAGTAATTAGTTCTGGGACCCCTGAATAGTCCCTGGGGACATAGGTGTATATCTAAGCTCACCTTCTATTTAAAATTCCGCTGGGGGGGTTCAAACATTAAAACTCTTAATTCTTACATTACTCTATTACGAACACTACCCTTACTCCTAATAATAACCCTACCCGAACACTTACCACAATACCAACCATAACAGTACCCCTAACACTATCAGGGCTATTCAGTAAAGTGAGAATTCAAAGTGAATTTTAAATTTCAAGCCAGAGTAGTTGAACTGAAAGCATAGCAGACTTAAAGATTTTTTTTCAGCTTGGCTATGTTAATCTTAAATTTCAAATTCACTTCACATTCTCACATTAGTGAATAACCCTGTAAATCAAACTCTAATCCCAGCCCCAACTTTAACGGTGAATCCTAACACAGCATGTTTGCTGATCAGATAATTCCCTTCTTCCCAATAATTAGCAGAGTCTCTTTGCAGGGGTCATCTACCCCCTAAGGTGCCACTGTTAAAATGACCAGATCTTACTATGAACAGTGAAGCCTATGGAAGTGTACGTACAGCTGCTTACTATAATATATCCTGTAAAATACATCTTTTAAAACGATCCCTATTTGATTTGTGAAGAAACATGCATTCCTAACTGCACTATAACAAGTGTATCTAAAGACCGTTCTGTTATTCTGCAGGACTAAATTCAGATTCACTTTGTACCTGAGTATCATGATATCTTAATTAGATGCTACATCCCCCAAACTGCAGCACAACACACAGCCCAAAGACTCAGAGTTCTACTCACCATCCAATGAGTCATGGGTGAAGTTTCCTGAGGGTTCCTTTTTGTCTGCTGAGTTCCTGGACCATCCCAGGATTCTGTCTATGAAATGTGAAGTGAGGAGGTGCTGTGCAGCAGGTTGGGACACTTTGCTGGTCTCCTCAGCTGAAGGTGCTGGTGTATACATGGTGTGTCTCAGTGACTCTATCCTGGGCAGTGTGGGAGCAGTAACTCTGCCTCGAGCTGTCACTTGGGGACATTCTCCAGGAGTGGAAATCTCATTGGTCCTGCCAGTGTCCCTCACATCCTCTTCTCAACACCACTCATACGATGCCGTCAGGACTGGGTGGGACTTACAGTGACATCTTTTTATTTTTTTATTCAGTAAGTGTTGAAAGTGTTTGAGCAACACCACAGAGAGGGAGAGGGAATTGTACTGTAACTAATTGCTAATGCCCTGTTCTGTCAGAATGTAATTTACTTGTGTATTCAACTGTGAGGTCCATTAAAAGGTATTTGAACTATATGCAGCCATTAACAACTGGGGAACTCGTGAATACAGCATATTTTCACCTAGAAATAGGCTTCACATTATCTATCATCTG